GTGCGCCTCTGTACCTCTGCACTTTACTTCCGCACCTCCTCTGAGTTTCAGTGCTTTTCTCTTTCCTTTTAGTTGTAGAATTTCCACTCAGCCAGCCTTCCTGTGGTTCTGGATGATGTCTGTTTTGTCGTAGCTAATCTTTTAGTTGTATTTTTGAAGTGGTTGTGCGAGGCAGCAATTTCCGGTGTTTACCTATGCCACCATCTTGGTTTCTTCTTGAGCCCTAATTCTTCTTGCCTATGTCTATAGCTTCTAGTGGTGCCCGTGGACTGAAGGCAAAATTTGAGTCCATGGCTGAGGAGAAGAAGAAGAGGGAAGAAGAAGAAAAAGCACAGCAGATGGCCAAGAAGCAACAGGAGAGAAAGGCCCTGGTAAAGATAACCCACGAGGCTCAGCCACCAGCAACCACTGTGGAAGAGCCAGTTGTGCCGGCCCCATTGCCTAAGAAAATCTCCTCACAGGTGAGTGTTTGGTGCTCTGGGATACATATCCAGGACCCCTGCCCAAACAGGAGCTTAAGGGTTCCAAATCTTTGGTAGAAAATAAGGCACAGGCTTCCCCTGTGTTAAGCAAATTCTATATAATTGCTGTCCCTGCCTTCAGGAAAATTTCATTCTGTTATTGGGCCTCATATATACAAGAATGTTAGAAAAACGGGCAAGATTTTTTACACAGTATAATAGAAGCCTGGCGGGCATAGCTCAGTTGAGCATTGACCTATGAACTGGGAGGTCACAGCTTTGATTCCTGGTCTGGGCACATGCCTGGGTTGCGGAAAGACAGGTCACCAGCTGTATAGCCCAGTGGTCAGCAAACTTTGGCTCGTGAGCCACATGCAGCTCTTTGGCCCCTTGAGTGTGGCTCTTCCACAAAATACCGACTTCTGCGCATGGGCCATGAAGTTTCAATCACACTGTATGTGCGTCCTCGCACATGGTATTTTGTGGAAGAGCCACACTCAAGGGGCCAAAGAGCCGCATGTGGCTCGCGAGCCACAGTTTGCCGACCACTGGTGTAGCCAATCATTGCTGCAGGAACTGAGAGGAAAGAGCCATCACTACAGATTGGAGCCCATCTTGGTGAATGAGTTGGATTTGGATTGGCCGAGGTAGGAGGGGGTGTTGCAAGTCAGTATAAGAGAGAAAATGGAGGCTTGCTTGCTTATTGAAGAGATGCTTCATTCTCCATAGGTCTGGCCTCCACCAGGGAGTTGCTCTTCACCAGAGCCTGAGCCTGTGAGAACCAGCAGGGGACATCCATTGCCTTCCTTGCCCTCAAGGCAAGAACCCCCAGAGGTAAGCAGAGCCCCAATGATGCTCTGTCCCTTTCCCATCTCCTCATGTCCTAGGAAGATGGGCCATAGAGTATGACCAACCATCCTGGTTTGTCTGAGACTGTCCTGATCTCAATACTGATAGTCCTTCCCAGCCAGTGTGGTCTGTGGTTGAGTGTTGACCTATGAACCAGGAGGTCACCGTTTGATTCTCAGTCTGGGCACATGCCTGGTTTGCAGGCTCTATCTCCAGTAGGGGGCATGCAGGAGCCAGCCAATCTATGTTTCTCTCCCATTATTGATGTTTCTATCTCTCACTCCCTCTTATTCCTCTCTGAAATCATTATATAGATATTAAAAGAGTCGCTTCTTTTAAGAGGAAAAAAAAATTTATAGTCCTACGTTCTGGGACACAACCCAGTTCTGGGAAGACTAAGAGAGCTGGTCCCCCTAGCTGTGGTATTCCCAATAATATGCTTTTGCTTCAACGTTTTCTTGGTCTTCCAAGGAATCTGCTTCCAACTTCCCTTTCTTCAAACCTTTTATATTCCCCTCCTATCATCTGTTTTGAGTGGGTGGGTAGATGTGGAGGTTGAGGAATGAAGAATGGATGAATGACTGTGTATCCTAGGAGAGGCTGTTAAATGGAAGCAAGGGTAGAGGGTAGAAGTGGTAGGATGGTGATGGGTGTGGTCTTAGCAGTCCTCCAATGGAAGGTTTTGGAGCGGCAGCTCCTGGTGAATTCAAATTACTCTGCTCCACACTGTCTCTTCTCAGGATGATGATGAGGAGGCCCCAGCTTTACCCCCCAGGACTCTGGAAGGCCTCCAGGTGGAGAAAGAGCCAGTGTATGAAGCAGAGCCTATGTATGAAGCAGAGCCTATATATGAAGCAGAGCCTGAGCCTGAGCCTGAGCCTGAGCCTGAGCCTGAGCCTGAGCTGGAGCCAGAGCCAGAGCCTGAGAATGACTATGAGGATGTTGCACATATGGACAGAAATGAGCAAGATGATGAACTAGAAGGGGACTATGAGGATGTGCTGGAACCTGAAGATGCCTCATTTCCCTCCTCCGTGGCCGGTGAGTGGTAGAAGGGAGAATCAGCTCCTGAATTTGGTCAGGTCTTAGGGAGGGTAAAAGGAAGCATTGCCCCATTACCCAGAAGAACCTATTTGTTTTGCATGTTGGTGAGACCATGTTTATGTTTCTGATAATGCAGGATCATCAGGCTGTCCGGCTGGGGCTGGGATCTCAGCGAGAGCCCTGTATGATTACCAAGGAGGTAAGTTGGGAGTGACCTGAGGGGTCTGGTGTCTGAAGGTCCTTGAAACAAGAGAGAGGGATGAATTCTGAGGGTCACAGAAGTGTCCAGACTTGACATCAAGAAGACCAGGGCTATTTCTCTTCCTGAGGTTTAGAGTGGGTATAGGGATAAAGAGATACCTGTCTAACCATCCTAATATCCTGTCAATTTCCTCTCCAGAGGGAAGTGATGAGATTTCCTTTGACCCAGATGACATCATCACTGACATTGAGATGGTGGACGAGGGCTGGTGGCGGGGACGTTGCCACGGTCACTTTGGACTCTTCCCTGCAAATTATGTCAATCTTCTCCAGTAAATGGCCCAGATTGTATTCTGCACTGTGACTTCCCATGACCAAAGTGGCTCTGCCTCCACTTCCTCCCATCTGCTGCAAGTGTCTAATAGGATGTTATGAGTTGCCTGAGGTTTTAGATAGATTTCTCTCTCCTCCTCCATTAGGGTTTGGGGCAGAGATAACATGAAGATGAAGCTCTCCTTCATTGTCCTCTCTATCCTGTGTGAGCTCATAGACATTTACTTTGTTGTCCCACCTCCTTCCCCATGAGTATTCCTTCTGTTAACATAAAAAAACCATTGAAACCTGTAAAGAATTTTTGTGAGTTTATTTGAGCCAAACTGTCAACATATACCAGGAAGCAGAACCTCAACGAATTGAGATAGTGCTCCCGAGAATGGCGGGGTTACATCCGTATTTATACATTCCAATCAAAGAAGAACATAGGTGGGTTACATGAAATTCATTGGTGATAGATTAAGGAGGTGGGATTAAGCAAAGCGGGGAAACCTCTGGGATAGGATAAAAAGTAAAATGATGGACACATACTTAGGTGGGTGCAGGAACAATTAACATGATGATGAAGGGATTTGTGGTATCTGTCCTGGGGCCCAGCCGATTTGGTTGTGCCCCAGGGGCTCCAGATACAGGGAAGTCACAAGTTACCCAGACATTTCAAGGGTATGTTATCATAGATGCAAAAAGACAGATAGGCTCAGTTAAGGTAAAGGTTGACCTTGTCAGTGAAGATACTGGCCTAGGATGTAACTGCCCACCATAACTGCTTTTAGTTAAACTTTAATTTCAGACCATCCTTTGTGGTTACTTTAGGTCTCCGAGTTTGCAAGACTGCCATGCAGGCCTCCCCTGAGCTTGTCAGGTCAGCATGTGGCCCCTTTCGTCCACACTTCTAACACCTCAAGCTCATCCTTCTGCTTTTGTGAGCTCTGAGCTTCCTGGTTTGCTTACCTAGGAAGGTATGTTTAGACTGCCTGGTTTACCTCGTTGTGCTATTTGCTTACTTTCCTTTCCTGCAGAGATACCTTTTCTCTGCTCAGTCTTAAAATTGGAAATAAAGTGGGACTATGTTTCACCTCTAGGCTGACGTACATACTACTTTTTATGCATCTCTCAATGGCCTTGACTCTCATGGCTCCAATTCTCCTTCCCTCTTTCAGGCATATCCAGAAGATTCCCTCCTACCACTGACCATCCTCCTGTGCCCTGATGTCTAGCCTTTTCCTTAGGCTATACTTAAACCCAGTCCTAACAGATCAGCCTGGGGAATGGTGGTAAGGTGGGGAACAGGAGGCCAGGTAGAACTTCTACTGGCTTCAGCAGTTGTGAGAGGCCAGCCACCTTCTGCCTGGGAGTAATGACTACACTCTTCTAGGAGATGAAGATTCTTGAAGAAGCAGCACAAATTAGAGATTAGGAAGGAGGAAAAGGTATATTTGGCAACAAAAAAAAAGACAAAAGCTAAAGGAACACAGACTTCAATGAAGTGATAGAAGATTTAGTCAGAGACAGTGTCCTCTACTCAAGAAAGTTCCAATTTCTTTGTAGCTGGATGACTGAAATTGATGGCCAAGTAAGTGGGTAGATGGGAAAAAACTCATGAAGCTTCTGTGTGGTTCATGGATGAATATGATATGAAAAACAGTGAAGACATTTTGACAGCCAGTGATGGGCAACAAACAAATCACTAGCAAAGTATGAGGGTGAGGAGAATGAGGACAGGGCATGGTGGGTTTATCCTAGCCCAGGCCATTGTGCTCCTGAAGGCCAGAGATAGGAGATGTGAGGCAAAAATCAGAACAAAATCTAAATCAAAGCCAGAGATTTGGTTGGTGTAGGGAATCTTGTAAGTAAGACATAGAAGTCTGTGCTGTAACCAGTATCAGAAGTTGAGCACAACTTTCAAAGATGAAGAGAGTGGCAGCTAGGATTAGTGACTGAGATCCCCAGATGCTCCAGGACTTCCTAAAGCTGTGAGCTGCACTGTGTCCCTCAGGCTTATTCCCTGGCTTTTCTTTAAGACACACACTCCTTTGTTTTCACAATGACTTCTATGCCAGTGAATCACAAATCTGTCTCTAGTCCTACCTTACAAGATTCACCCAGTTAGCCTTTCAGAGTGCAAAGCAGCTTTTATTTTTGCTTATAGAGACGTTGGGATTTCCAGTACACAAAGGTAAGCCATCATAGATATACACAACCCCCTTCTTCACTTCAGTTTTATTTGCCATCACACACAGATCAGAATTTTACAGTGGTTTTCTGGTTACATCTCCAAGTCCCTCCTTGCTTTTTTCACTTTTCCCTTTATTTTAAGACAGAAACTTCTTTTCCAGACCCCGGTTCTATTAAAGCAACAGTTTTACAGAACTGCCTCAGTTCTCCAGACCTCTCCCTCCACTTTGGCTGATTTCTACTCTGAACTGATTATCTTGGTGGTGATACTCATCAAGGGCTCTCCTCATAGACATCTTCCATCCAGGCTCCTATTCCTGGGTACACTGTCCCTTTCCACTCCCCTCAGTGCTTCTTAGTCTGAAGCCATGTCTAACCATCTTGCCTCTGTTAGATAACGCTTTCTGCCCATGCTACTCACTACAGCCTTACCTCACTAACCAGATCATCTTCTGCCTAATTCTGTCTCATAAGAGGTTTTCCTTTTGCTCCAACTGCCCTCTCACCATAAAATGTGCTTGTTTGTATAAACCAGTGCATATACTGCGGTATCCTGCTTTTCTGCAATATGTACAATTAGATATCTTACAAAATGTGTTTGATGATGTTGATTGATTCTATATTGCTGTGAAGGCAGCAACAAGTAAAGTAAAGTGTGACAGAAACTGTGCAGCCCACAGAGCAGTGTGGCACTGTCCTGATTGCTCCCTGAGCCCTGCCTGCCCCCACCCACCCAGATTGCAAAAGGAAAGCCCTCTGCTCTCTTCCTTTCTCTATACTTCTCTCCCATCTAACAGTAGCCCCTAGTTTGTATCTCCCTTGGCTCCCCTTTCTTTCTTTTCTTCTAGTAAAATGCAAGACCCAGAATGGACTTTAGGAGCTTTCTTTTTTCATATAAGGACTTGAGCCAAAATACATGGAGCTGATACCTGAAGAAATCTCCCTCCTCCTACCCTTCCCACGTTAGTGTTTAGTTGTTTCTAGTTACTCATCTTCACTGAATAAAATATTAGCTCACACTCTCTATTTTTAGAAAATGTTGCCTTATATACAAATGTGCAATATAAACCAAACCATAAGAATGAGTTACATAACCAAATAGTATCAAGTGGCATATTCTAATGAAAAGATGAGCATACTTCTGTTCTGGGACTTGCTCAGATGCTTCTTGACTTTTCTCAGAGGTGCCACCTACTTCATCTACACCAGCGTCAGACCATGTTCAGAGAGAGAGATCCAGGCGACAACAAGCATCCAGATCAACTAGCCTCATTTTGGTTGTTATTGTTGGCTAAATTCTTTGTTCTCTACTCGCCCACAGTGTCTGACTTCCTTTCCCTTCTTTCTCACTTGTTTGAGGGCTGCTAGGACTGAGAATATGGCACCAATTAAAGTGAGAGGGATGTAAACACAAGATAAGTAGCTTAACTTTCCTCGCTTCAGCTACACTGGGAGAGAGCTGAAGGAATCTGCTTTTGAACATAACCCCAGGGCATACAGGCACACCAAACAAACCAGCTCCACTTGATCCAATGCACAAGTTAATATCTCCATGTGTCTCTAGAACCTACTTAGTAAATACGGAGCTGATGAAGTCACTATGTGTGAGAGAAGATTTTGCTATACTAAACAGCTGATCCCAACTTACTGCCACTGGTATGTCATCTTTTAGGGCAGTGGTTCTCAACCAGGAGTGACTCAGAGGATATTTAACAATGTCTGGAGACAGTTTTGGTTGTTACAGCTGTGGGTGTACTATGGCTAGAGGCTAAGGATTCTGCAAGATGTCATATGACACACAGGACAGTCCCTCATGACAAAGATTTATTCAGTGCACAATGTCAGCAGTTCCTAGAAACCCTGCTTTAGGGGAAGTCAGTTTCAATTGTGTATTTTTCTTTTAGTTTTGTTCTCATAAGTTTCACTGTTTGTTACCCAAAACTAGCAGTGTCACCCATTTTTGACACCTGAAGACGACCAATAATATGTAGGAACAATGACAGGGAACCACTATTGTTCCATGACTTCCTTCCTAAGATCCCTGAGTTACTCAGGTGGTGTCTAGGACCTGGTGACTGGTGCCGCAGTACCTGCAGTGGTTGCTGGTGCTGGGCTATGCAATGTTCTTCATAATCCAGACCTATTGTTTTCAGAAGAAAAGAACCTTGACTCTTAAGTCATTATTAAAATGTTTAGATGTAGGCTTGAGGCTTTTTGCCCTAATTTTCTCCATGAATATTGTGTCTTATGGACTCTTCATTTTTCAAGGTTTTCTTATATGTTGCCAAGATTCTGCACAACAAACTCTCTGACCTAATTTCTGCCTTTTATTCTTTGGTTGTGGTCTCTTCAAGGCTACTGTGCTCAGCCAAGGTCTCTATTCTGTAGGGCTGTGTTCAGACTGTCTTGGCTTAGGGGCAGTGGGGCAACTAACACCAGCCCTGGGCTTGAATGTCAAGACAACCTCAGCCCCAGAACCTTCAAACGGTGAACCCTTCACCATGGAGGACCGGAACCTTAGTCCATATCCCTGTATTGCCTGCCCCACAAATCTGAACGTGCTTATAAACTGACCTCCCACCCCCAATAAAAGCACAGGCCTATACTGGTTATGGAATTCATTGCTCTCTCATTTCTAAGAAATGGGGCTTATCTTCCTCAATGACCTTGTTACCTACTTTCTCTTCAACCTGATTTATCTTAGAAATAAAAAAGGAAAGGAAATAAGTCATCAATATGGTACTATAGCAATTGTACAAGGCAGGGATTAGGGAATTCTTAGACCTTGAAGGACAATGAATGTTCTAATACACTCAGATAAGCCTATATGCAGTTTACAGAGGGAAGTTCCCCAAGCCACGCTCTGTCCTACTTTCAGTAACTCCGAGGAGAAATTCAAGAATGGTGGTATCTGAATCTTTAGTTGGTTTGTCTTCCTTGTGGTCTGGCTCTAAAGGTGGTGACCAAGCTCTCTCGGGCCTGCTCCTGGGGCTGACACATGCTGGTCAAAAGAATTGGGTCAGTCTTGTGCTCTACAACATTGAAAGGACATGTCTTCAGGTGCTCGGACATGGAGGTGACTTCATTAAATTCCCAGCTGTTGATCTTAGAGAAGAGGCTGCTGAATTGCCAGATCTGTTGGGAAAGACAGAAGTTCAAAAGTGAACATTGGGGCAATACCCTCAGGCTAGCTTTATTTGAAGGATGTAAGGAAATGCCTTTCTGTTTTTCCTGGTCTCAGCTTCCAGGGGGTGGTTAATGGCTGCTGCAGACAGTTAGTTCCTTCTCTAGCACCCAATTCCTAGTTCCTCCTTCCAACTGATAATCTTCCTAGCCAGTCATGCAGTTGTGCTGGAATGACTAATATTAATCTGCATATTTGACCCCCCATCACCACTAACACACACACACACACACACACACACACCAGTTCCAGAATACACAGGTAGTTCAAATCCATACAATTAGTTTCAATGAGACTCAACTCCAGAACTTCTTTTTTATGTTGAGATATTAAGAAGCAGATTCTTTTTTCTCCTCTGCACTTGAACTGGGAAACAGCAGTTTTAGGAGTTGCTAGCAGCCACCAGGAGCCACCAAGGAACCCTATGTCTTAGAATGGAGCCATTATTAAGAAAGTAGAAATTTAAAAAGGAAAGGAAAACACCATTTGTTTTTCTTGAGCTGCTAGATCAAGCCTTACCTGAAGCTATTCCCTTTGGGCTTTTTAGTTATTTGGGGGCCAATGAATTCCCTTTATTGTTTACGTCACTTTAAGTTGGTATTCTGGCGTTTGAAACTAAAAATGTTATAACATATAAGAAAGCTTAGAACAGAAATCTTAGTAGAAATCTAGGTGTCTGGTACTCAAACATCCTCTGGCCTTTCTACCTAGAATGTGGTGGCAAAGTCCCTAGTTTTAAAATCTGGCTACGTGAGTAGGCATAACCTGGTACCATTTCAATCTGACCACTTCACCCCCAGTTTATTGCCATTGTTCCTATGTAAGAAAAGTGCTTTCTAGAATCTTGAACAATTTCCCTTTTACTTCCAAGAGCCATTTTAACTCCAGAAAGAGAATTTAGTTGGAGTTAAAGGATGTTCCAACTAAATTCTCTTTTTTTCTTTCTGCAAGGAAATTAGTTTATCCCAAATGATATCCAAGAATGGGCAGTAATCATTTAATTGAGAACAAACATGGGCAAAAAAATAATGGAATTTCTAGTAAGTAAATTAAATTATTTGCATCTGATTTTACAGAGGAAGATACTAGGCAATTCTAGAGTATACAATTCCCAAAGGGCAGGGCTTTAGTCTCATTTGTGCTTATTTCTAGCACATGGTTGGGTGGCAGTCAGTGTTTGTTTAACACATGGATGTAGGCATGGGTATATAGGAAGAAAGAATCTCAATTTTTGAAGAAGACTGCTCAGGGAATAAATAATAGTAAATATACACAATGTTTTAGACATATTTAATACATATAGATGTAAACAACTCTAACTCCCCAATGCCAGTTTGCACACACCCACATATTGGGAAGAAACTCAACTGTGAAATTATGAAATTATTCACCTCAATGGGCACATAAATTTGTGGTTCATATAACCAACATATTTACCATGAGAAAGTATGCTAAGGTCATTTTGGATACGATGAACTAGGAGTTTCACTTCTGTATGGTACAAGAAGTGAAAGTAAGGTGATAGAAGTTATAATACAGTTAAGCAAGTATAAACTGACTGGGGGTTGGGGGGGGGAAGAGGAACACATTTGATATATATAGCAGGTTGTTTTTGTTTTGTTTTTTGAAAACTTCAATAAGCATTTGAACTAGGGGAAGTCATGGAGCAAATTATTTAAGAAATTATTTATCTTCAAAGTACCTTAACAAAAGCATACATTGTTAAAAATATAGTTGACATGGGACTGAGGGGAATTTGTTGGCTCCTGTGTCAATCAGAGTCCAGGCAGGAAACAGATGGCACATTCAAATGGGGTCATTTGAAGGGTATTTTTTTAAAGAAATAATATACAAACTGTGGACATGGTTTAGGAAAACCACAAGAAATAGTGCAGTATCCAGACTTGAAAGGGAAGAAGAAGGGAGATCATTGGACCAGAATGAGTCATCATGTGGAAAGAGCCATCTTACATAACCACCTACAGTGGAGAGACATTTCCACTGCGAAGTGTCAGGGAGGGAGAATGTATGCAGGGAGGAAGCCAGAAGAATAGAAATGTCAACCTCACTCTTCTACCTCCCTCCTGCCCATCTCCTGCTGATACACGCCCATTAGGCTAACCTAACTGGAAGCTGAAATGCAAGAGAACCAGTTGAGGCAATCTGTAGAGATAAGCCTCCTGTGGGGAGGGGGGGGGGGCGGGGAGCAGGCAGATCTTGGTGGAGAAGGTTGGAGAATGGATCATTCGAGCACACAGAAGATATCCAGGACACATACATAGAGATAAACAGGCACTGCCATTTGTATTGCCATTAATATGTTTATCAGTCTGTCTTCCCTGGTGGACTGACCTTGAGCTCAGGAATTATGTCTTATTCCCAGTAACTTAGTAGAATCCCAGTGTCTAGTACAGTGTTTGTCACACAAAAGGCTCTTAAATATTGAATGAATGAATGAATGAGTAGTTTACTTGCCTCTTTGTGGACTCTCCAGGAGGTGCCTCCATGGGAATACTTCTTCTTCTTCCATTGCAGGAGTACCATCCCTCTCTCTTGTAACAAAGTGGCACAGATATTCCTCATAAGCACAGACACCTGGGAGAGCTGGGACAGGCTGATGCTGTCCAAGAACCCAGCAATGTACTGCAAAATCTCCAAGGGCAGGCTGGTTAGAGAATTTTGGCCTTTTCCTCTAGGGCCTGAGAGATGGTTGCTCTTCCTTCCCTCATTCAGCTCTGAAGCAACCTCCGGCTTGATGGCAAAGGTCTTGAGCTCTTGACTATAGATCAATTTTGCCTTTTGCCCTGGGGGACGGAAATGGTTTTGAATAAATGTACATCCCAAGTAGGCAAGGGGGCACCGATGCTGAAACCAGCCATCAAGACATGACTGAATGTCTGTGTGGACATTCTTGAAATGCAGGGGGAATTCATCCCTCCTGAAGAATTTGTTGCAGGTGAAAGTGAAGGCAGAGCTGCTCTTGTTGTGTCTCCTGGTCACACACTCACTGTGGAGTTCCACATGGAGCCCCTCTGGGTTGGCAGTGGTTAGGAGGTCAGCCAGCACTGTTCCAGAGGAAAACTGTTCTTGCTCAAAATTGTATGTCTGGGTAGCAAAATCCATGAATAGCCCATCAATGCTCCTGGATTCAGAGATGACGTGACCTTTGAGTTCTCTTTCCAAAGCACACAGGAGGGTGGTCTTGATGAGATCTGATTTGGGCAGGTCCTCCACAGTGATCCCTAAGTCTGAAGTGTCTACTGCCTTGTGTTCACTTGGCTTACAACTCAACATGGCATCTCCAACACGAGCCCGCTTCCCACAGTAGCTCACAGGAACTTTGAAGGTATATACAGTCTTTACTTCCTGAGCCTCTAGGTTGCCATAAACAAAGTCTTTCTCCTTAGGTGTACAAGCAGGCATCTGACCGAAGTGGATAAGCATCCTCCCATTGTGCACCAGATACATATTATAGTCCTTTGCATCCACAGCCGATTTCAGTCTCTCCAGAACACCATCCTGCCAAGGGGCAAGCCCTGTTGTTTCCATAGCTGCATGATAGTCCTGCTGTCTCTGGTTCTCTTGTGATTCTTTCTCTTCGGCACTGGCCTCTCCTATCATGTTATTGGTGATGGAAATCTGTTCTTTCCCTGGGCCATTACTGCTCTTCTTCTCACAGCTTGCTGATGAGTTTGTTAAAGCAGAGGCTGCATGCTCTTTGCTGAAAATATTTTCCCACTTGCTAAACTTTTCCAGGTCCATCCCTTCTTTGGTTTTGGCCAACACCTGGAGTTCTTCTTGACTCAGTTCTGCCATCTCTTCTTTAGTGGCCAACTGGGAGCTATGTGGCACTAAACCAGCATTTACTCCACCCACCGCTCCTCCCATTTCTTCCCAGCTGGCTTCACCATTCATAGTAGGTTCCTCCTCCGTGGGCTCTCTAGTTTCTGGGAAAAGTTCTACCATTTTCAAAGATCTGAAAAGGACCTTCTGGTCCTGGAGGGCCAGGGCTGTGTCCAAACACTCCTCACTGGGGGTCTCTTTCATGATGTTCTTATGAAGGGGTGTTTCGGAGTCCACATTTGGCCAGCGGTTCCACTCCATGGAGCAGCAGACCACGCTGGCGGGACACACCTGCAAGTGCTTGGCCAGCTTGTGGCGGGACATGGAAAGGGGGCAGCCATATTCAGAGTTGAGGCATGGAACCTGCTCTAAAGGGCAGAGGAGCTCATGCTCTGCCTCTTTACACATGTGGAAGGTGGCACCACAGGACAGGTGGCAGTTTATCATCATGCAGGAGACATTGGGCTCCACGGGAATGTGGCAGTGACGGTTGAAGCATCTCTCACAATGCCTGTGCTGTCCCAGTGGAGGCCTGTGTGCCTTGCCCTGGAAAAACCAAAGGCCAAGGGGAAGAGAAGACAAATGACTGCTGGGAGAGAAGCTCTATGTGTGACTGTGACTGTGTTTTTAATGACTTATTTTCTGTTTATACGTGCTTCTGATAGGAACCTTGGAAAGTATACAACAGCATAGAGAAAAAAGCAAAAAATCACTCATAATCCCACAATCCAGAAATAATAACTATACCGCTCTTTTCCATATGTTCATTTTATGTATATAATAGAGGTGTTTAGAATAGGAAAAAAAAACAGTGCTAAATGCAATGATGTTCAATGTTGACAATTATTATTTTTAAGTTGTGGATTATGGGTGATTTATAGTACACAGTTAATACTGTGACTGCAATTTTGCATCCTGCTTTTTAACTTGCTACTATAACATGAGACTAGGCGGTTTTATTAATTATTCTCTACAAACTTTCTTCATAATGGCAGTGTACATTCCAGAATGAAAGTGCTGTCATTCATTTAACCAGCTACCACCAGGGACATGCTGGGAAGACAGGGTCATGTCTGGTGTTGTCTATATCTGCATCTCTAGCACCTGTCACTGGGCCTAGACAATTGTAGGTACTCAATAATACACTGAATGAAGAAATTGTTAGTCACTTACATTATTGCTGCATTTTTTTGCTTTTTTATTTTTAAAGGTTTACTAAAAATCTTTGCTCACAAATCTTTCTTAGCTCTCTGATTTTCTCCTGCTCCATATCCATTTCTTCCAGGTTCTGCTCTAGCAGCCCTGGTTTGGCAAAAAGCCAATAAAGATCATCAAACCATAAGGATAAGTATGCCAGCTGCTTAGGCTACAGGCTAAATAAAGCCAGACCTGGACCCCTAATATGTAAAGATCCAAGAAGAACTTAATACTTACCATAGCTTCCGAATTTCTTCTTGCTTTGTAACTCTAGGGGAAAATGTAAAAATACAAATATGATTGATTAGTAAGAATTTTGGTTATTTATATTAACAGGGGCCAAAGGGACTTTCACATACTCTCTCTAATTTAATTCCTTCCACCACCCCAAAGGTGTCATTGCCCCATTTTATAGTCAAGGAAATGGAAGCCAGAGAAGTTAAATAGCTTGTCCAAGGTTGTCTAGCAGCTAAGTGATAAAATCAGGTCCCAACCCAGGCCACCCTAATCTATGCTCTTTTCAACTGACCGACACTGCCCTCTGATGGGGCCTTCTTGCCAACCATGCGGTGTGTAACTTATGCTTCTTGTAACTTTTTTCCACTATCTACCAACAATTATCCTGACATTCCACTTCGACACCATCCAAACCTGCTGAACATACACACATCTGATACTTATAACTAGTCTTCTCATGAAACTGGGGCGTCGTGTCCACGTAGAGGGTTGCCTGACATCTGGCTTAATCTGGGCAGTGCACAGGTGAAATATCTGTCACGTGTCACTCACTGGTATATTCAGCTGTGCTGTGGCTAGAGCAGAGCCAAACCCCTAATGCCCCAGAAGCAGTGGGGACTGTGGCAAACAGAAGTTACCCTGCCTTCAGGGGAATGTAGCTTTTGGGCTCTTGTCAGTTGGTCCCAGGTGGGAATGTGTTTCCAGATCTTCTGATTTTCCCAGAGAAATGAGGGGTATAGATTTTTGAGTGGTGGTATGAGTAGTGGTTACGAGGCAGATAGCATGGGATTTCACCCTGGCACTAGAAGTCATAGCTATGAGACTTTGGGAAAGTTACTTAACCTCTTTATTCATCACTTTCCCCATCTGTAAAGGGACGAAAATAATAGTACCTACCAATTGTGAGGAACAAATTAATTAAATACAGTACCTGAAACTCTTAGGATAGTACATGTCTGATAGGAAGTTACCTATACATGTTTGCTATTTTAAGTATTTTATATTTTATTATATTACAAACATTTTATTACATAATATATCAAGATAAAAATTCTTGAAATTTTATATGTTGGCAACTAATTTTTTTAAAACCTCTATTTGGACCAAGGAAAAACATGTATGCAGCCTACATAGATCTGTGGTTGCCACTTTGCAACACCTGGCCTAGAGAATTAGTAGCATAATTTCAGTACTGTGTCGGTCTGGGAAGGGGTTAGCACCCAAAAGTCATGTTACTGGCAAGATGAGGAGACCTCAGTTCTTGTCTTCTTGAAGGAAAGATTTCAATCAAGAGACAAAATGTAGAAAAACAAGCAAGAATTTATTGGCCTCAGCAAAAACACACCTAGGACAGTGAAACTGGGCATAGAACAGTGATGGCAAACCTTTTGAGCTCGGCGTGTCAGCATTTTGAAAAATCCTCACTTAACTCTGGTGCCATGTCACATATAGAAATTTTTTGATATTTGCAACCATAGTAAGACAAAGACTTATATTTTTGCTATTTATTTTATATATTTAAATGCTATTTAACAAAGAAACATCAACCAAAAAAATGAGTTCGCATGTCACCTCTGACACGTGTGTCATAGGTTCGCCATCACTGGCATAGAAGAAGAAGTAGCAAGGGAACCCAGGCTGGGCTGCTTTGGCTTACTGGGAAGTCAAAGAAAAGGGGGCCTTCGAGACAGGTTCAGGGGGTTAGACCAGGATGAGCTGCTGCTGCCTATTGCTTCCCTGGTTTCAAGTCTCATGGGGTTCCTTAGAGTTTAAAGGATATGTGCCTGTGGGGGGAGGGGTGGGGAAAGGGAACAGCCTAGGCTTGCTCCCTGGAGGGAGAGTGCCCTGGGACCTCCATTTTCAGGGGTTTTAAAGGCTGGACATTTAGAAGCAGTGTTAGGGGAAGATCAATAGAAAATTCATCAGCTTTATGCTGATGTGCCAGGATGAGATTTATTCTCTTAATTTGTCTGTCCTTGGGTGTGGTTGGCAAATGGCACTTAATTGAATTTCTGTTTTCTGTCTCCCCGAGTAGGGTGATTTACGCTATTTATCCTCTAATTGGGGAGGAGAAGTAGAAAGCATTTACTCTTAAGTGTCCTTGGTTTAGGAAAGACAGGATTTACTTGGTGGCTGCAAACTGCTATTTAACTATCTGTCTTAGTTTCCCTATTCCACTTGTCTTGGAATTTTCCTAGCTTCTTACTATGCTATAACAGTCAGAAGAAATGCAGTATTTAAAATTTTTATTTTTTTAGGATTTGCCAATTCATTGTGGGTGAATTTTCCTTCAACTTTAAAATTGGTTTTTCAAATATACAGAAAGACTCTATACCAGGGGTGGGCAAACTTTTTGACTCGAGGGCCACAATGAGTTCTTAAACTGGACTGGAGGGCCGGAACAAAAGCATGGATGGAGTGTTTGTGTGAACTAATATAAATTCAAAGTAAACATCATTACATAAAAGGGTACGGTCTTTTTTTTTTTTAGTTTTATTCATTTCAAACGGGCCGGATCCGGCCCGCGGGCCGTAGTTTGCCCACGGCTGCTCTATACTAATAAAAGCCTATGTGGTCATCATGCCCTCACGCCGTGATGCCCTCATGCCCTCACACCGTAACAATCCATTATCAGGAGGCTGTGTGTGCAGCGGGCACATGCGGGTGGGTGGGGACTTGATGCTGCATGCGCAGCACGGAGGCAGGTCCTGGCAGCGCCACATGGCGACGCCAGGGGCAGGACCCCCGGCTCCGGCCTACCTCTTTGGGGCAATCCATCAAGGAGCCCCGAATGGGTGGGCGGGGCCTACCTCTTTGGAGAGATTGATTGTGGGGCTCCCACACTGTGAGAGGGCACAGGCCAGGTTGGAGAACCAAGCCCCCCCCCCCAGTGCACGAATTTTGTGCACTGGGCCTCTAGTATATACAATAAACACCCAAGTATACTCCACCTAGATTCAATCATTGTTAACATTTGCCAGTTTTGCTTCCTCTCTCTCTCTCTCTCTCCATACACACACAATCACATATTTCTGGCCAAAGCTCTTGAAAATAAGTTGTTGATATCATTTCACATCATCGCTAAGTATCTCAGCATATATTTTCTAATAATAAAGACATTTTCCTTAGTAATTGTAATAACATAATTTTACCTAAGAAAACAAAATAATTTTTTAACATCACCAGATATCCCCAAAATGTCATATGTATTTTTTATATATATCCCCAAAATGTCATATATATATTTTTTAAATGTTTGCACCATGATCCCTTTAAGGTCAATTTATTACATTTTGTTAGTGTTTTTAGTCTCTTTAATCTGGGAAAGTTCCCCTCAACTTTTTCAGAAGAGACAGATTTAAATTTTAAGGTAATTATATTCTGGTTCTTTTAGGTATTCATTTGTGCATCCATTTATTCAATAAGCATTTGTTGATTACCTACTATGTGCCAGTAAGTGAGCATAAGGGTCACGTGGACTGCTTGTTAAAGTGGTTGTTAAACACTGTTGCTCATTAGAATCAGTGTTTGTTAAATTATAGATCTGCATTGTTCAATATGGTAGCCACCAGTCACATGTGGCTATTTAAATTTAAATTGATAAAAATTAAATAAAATTAATAATTTAGTGCCTTAGGAATACTAGCTAAATTTCAAGGCTCAATAGCCACATATGGTTAGTAGCTACTCTATTGGACAACACAGAATAGAGCATTTCCATCTTCATAGAAAGTTCTATTGAACAATACTGCTTTAGATGCTGTCTACACCCCTGACCTGAGTGAGAGGTGTGTTCTGGTATTTACATTCCTAACATATTCCCCATCTGATTCTTGGGCACTGGGAGTGCTGAGTGTGAAGGAGGGATCATGCCAGAGTGCTCTATACCCCTAATAGCCAGCTTGGATCAGGAGGCAGATCAGAAGTTGAAAGCCAGAACATCAACCGGGTTCAGGGCCCGGTAGAAGATACATGAAGGTGTTAAATCCAGAGAGGAAGTTAGAAGAATGAAAGGTTGTGATGGTTGAACTAAGATGGAGCAGAGTAAGATCGGGAAGAGGATATCTTTTGGATTCAAGAGTCCAGCTACTGGATCTTTTAACATACAATTTAACTTTCAGTAGGTTCCTGCTACATTCCAAAATCACTCTTGGGGGGAAATGTCCATTGTGGACTTATTGTGGGAATTCATAATATTAAGCTAAAGCATCTGTAATTATTTGGTACTTAATAAGGAGTCACTTAACACTGTAATTGATGTATCAACTCATAGTGGAGGGATGAAGTGGGAGGACCTAGAGTTAGAAACTGCTATGTAGAGGATATGAGGGACACTTGGATGGAGAAGACTGATGACAGTATAAATAGGTAAGATGAAACAGGTAGGAGACATTACAAGGGAAAATTAACTTTTTTTTTTCTGGCTGGAGATGAGGAAAGAAGAGGAATCAAAGTTGATTCCAAGATTTAGAACCAAGAAGAGAGAATATTGGCTATAATTCTGAGAAAAATAGAATTCTGAAATGGAAATTGTTTTGGGAAGAAAGATACATCCAGCAAGCTTTTAAAAAATATTTTATATGTTATTATTGATTTTGGAGAGAGGATGGGAGAGGGAGAAACATCAATGATGAGAGAGAATCATCAATCAGCTGCTTCCTGCATGCCCCCGACTAGGGATTGAGCCCACAATCTGGGCATGTGCTCTGACCAGGAACTGTGACCTCCTGGTTCAGAGGTCAATGCTCAATCACTGAACCACACTAGCTGGATGGTTCCAGCAAGTTTAACTCAAGTTGCTTCAGGTGCTGACAGATCTCATGGATGGGAAGATGAGGTGTTAGAATGTAGAGATGCAGATTTGAGAATTATCCACTTAGAAATGAGAGAGGCCCTGGCCGGTATGGCTCAGTTGATTGGAGCACCATCCCTTACAACAAAGGTGGCAGGTTCGATTCCCAGTCAGGCACATATCCAGGTTGCAAGTTCAATCTGCAGTTGGGGCATGTATGAAAGGCAACCAATGATCTCTC